TATTGCTATAAAAACGCAGATCTCAGAGTAGCCAGGTAAATGACCCAGTTTTTACAAAGGAATGACTGCTTCCTAAGAAAATAGGCAGATTCCTCAAATTCCACAAGGAGCATGTGCTTTACTTAAGGTTAACCAGTCAGCAAATATGTGTGCTGGGCACACCATAAGCCAGAGACTGTGACAGGGGAGGTGTTTGGTGTCACTCTTTTAAGGCTAGGAGGGACTGCTGGTTGGGCCACCCTTTTAGACAAGTGGTTCTCAAACTTGAATAGTCTATTGATTTCTTTTAAAGTATATAAAAATTATGACCTCCAGTGTTATTTTTATTATAGTGTTAAGTATTAAAACATAAAACCACATAAAACTCCTTAAATTCTTGTGCTACTATAAAAAAGAAACTTTGACAAATTAAGTAAAACTAGTTATGTAAGTTTTATAGTATTATTCAAATAAAGGACATCAATTTAATACAATGAATGGAAATGTCTAAAACTAAATTTAACATATTATGTTTAGTAATAAAAAAGATATAACCTCAGAGTTCTGTATTTAATTAGTTTCTGAATTTGACTCCAGTAAAAATAATATAAAAAATACCTTTTTTGTAAGTGTGTTGTACAAACTATTCTTAATAACTTTAAGGTGGTGTTACCTACTTCAAGCTAATAAAACTTGAAGCTATCAGAGAATAGCTTTAAGAGAATACAATCTTTGAAAGCTCTCTTTATTTGCTTGGAGAGGAAATTACTATTGGGATAGAGTTGTGTACGCAAACCAATAAAAGCTAAAATTAAAAACTGAAGAAATGTTTCACTGTGGATTTTCTGTTACACTCACTGCTAATGGTCAGTGCAAGTTGGACCATATGAAGACAGCATCTGAGCGTATGTTAATATGCTACTGACTGCTGCTGCTCAGGTGCTTTTGGCTCGTCATGTCCTGCCATGTATGATGAGCAGATTCTCTGACCATTCTTGTCTCTGTACTACAGCAAAATGCTCTGTCTATTATGCATCTGTATATCATTTGGACTTCACTTGTTATGCACTGAGTTACAAACACAAAGACATATACCGAAGTTATATGGTTATACTCACGTATAGGGTACCCCTGTAGAGGACCTGGAATATGCTAATATCTTCTTTATTAGGTTATTATTGAAACATAAGCACAGAATTAAAGAATTAAAAAACTTGTAGCAAGCTCATGGAGCCCTGTGGATATGCCCCTAGAGCCTTTGGATCAGCACTCCTTGGGGATATAATGTGGCTCTGTGAATGCACATTCCTCCCTGCCTTTCATGTCCACACTGCTGGGTGCTAAGAAAGTTGTTCTGTTTTTCTAACATTCAGATACAAGACAACATACAGAACTGTGTCAAGAAGAATTTAATGCGAAATTTTTCTTTCTTGGCTTGAGATGTCACTCCAGGGTTATAAAGGGGGCAAGTTTTAATGACATCCATCTGTTGCAGATTAAAATAGGTGGGGCTCAGCAGTGGAATTCCTTGTCCAGAGTTTGACTATGGGCGTAAGTACAATTGGTTTTAGGATTTGAGAGTCCTAGGGACATAAGCAGCAAAGCAGAGAGAGGATAGTCTTACATTTGTCTGAGACTTTCTCCCAAAGAAGTTGCTTTTGCCTCATTTTTCTCTTTATTATGCTTTTACGTGTGAAATCTCCTGGTTGAGCAAAGGAAACAGTCTATTTTAAAAGCATGCTTTTCCTCCTACTTACACTTGATTTCAAAACCCTTGCTTTTATCATAATCAGTTGGGAAACACAGCATGGTAAAAATTGCTGTATCTCTCTCCATGAATGTTTGAATCCTCTTTCATCTCTGTATTGATTGAAGATAACCAGGCTAACCACTGTTTATCCAAAGCACTTGTGTCAAGGGCCTTAATCACAGATTGACCTCATTGTAGGGTATGATGTGCTTGTGTCTGTGTGGAAGGGGGGAAGAATATATATTTCTATGCAGGTATATAAATTTGAGCTTCAATAATGTCAATATTCATATATAACTTTTAAAACCTCATTTTATTTCCATCCTTGAAATTTACATTCTTGGACTATTTTATAATAATATTTCCATTTAATGCATTTTCTCATTTTGGGGGAAACTAAATCCCTTAAAGCGGTTCTTGGAGAATTCAACTTATACAAAAGTCTCCTATGACTCAACTGCTGAAGTGGTCCTTGGCAGAATGGCTCGGATATTATATTTCCATAGGACCCAGACCCTTCAGGACACTGGGAGCATTGTTTGCTAAAATTCTAAGGATTTGCTATAACTTTGACATGCATCCACTTTTTAAAAGTTTGGTTCAGAAAAGAGAAAACCAGTTATAAAAACTTTTCGTTACTCTATAACGGCAAAAGCAATCCTCAATGTCGTGTCCAATCCCCATAGAAGATTCAAAGATGGTCTATTACATATTTCTCAGCAATACCTGAGGCCCCATCAGACCATCATCACCGCTCTAGGCTTCTGCAGTTGTGTTTCTAGGTGTCTCTTCATCCCTTCGGGGTTAGGCTCTTCTTCTGGCTCCACCTGTTCACAGCATTCTTTTTTATAGGAACAATAGAGCAACCTGATCTTTTGCTGAGTTTAATCATGTTAGGCATGTTACAGGGAGACAGACAATTGGCTTCTTAATGCAAAGCATTCTTTATCACCTGTTTCCTCATTCTCAGATGAATATGTTTCTAAGTAGTTCGTCTCAGGTTGGTACTTAACAGAGTTAGTTTTCTAGGTGCATATAGAGGGGTGATAGCTGTGAGGGTAGGGATGGAAGTCAAGAATTTTCTCTCCAGCTGAGGCACTTTATTTAGCAAGTGCCATGATTTACAGAGTAAATATGTAGACCAAAGGCATAATTGTGGTTAACGCAGATGAAATAAACCTAGAGCTCACAGGCTAGGAATCTGTAGTAATATCCACCGTGATACTTTGAAGGTGTGGGATAGGATAGCAGATAAAACTTACAGCTCTGAACTGATAAACATAAATTAAATCTCAGGTCTTCCATTAAATAAATTTGTGTAAATATGTGACTTTGGAAACTTCCTGAATCTCTTTCCTCATCTATTAAATGGGCGTAAGAATAGTTTTTTTCTCATAGTATTGTTGTATTTGTGATATAATACATGTGACTCCTTTAGCTCTGTTCCTGACCCACTAAACACTCAGTAAATGTTACCTATAAGCATCTGCTTTATGTACAAATTGGAAAGTACTTTCTAGGAACAACCTCTGATATAATACATAGCACACAGATTTGTTTTGGAAAAACTTTATATAGAGGAATAATATGTTCGTGTTTTATATCTGCAACCCAATACTATTTAACTTTCGTTGTTTTACAGTAAAATGAATGTTTCTTGTGAGATATTAACATAACATAATACACAGTATTATAGCTCACTTTTAAGTGCTGTGACAACAAACCTGAAGGTAGGAAATCCTCCTGGAATTCAGCATTTGCCGCAAACAGCAAAATAAATTTCATAGAATAGGCATTTAAAATGAGTCACAGTTCAGTTGCTGCAGCATTGCAGATATTCTTGGAGCACTCTGCCATCGGTGCAGCCTGCAGGAAGGATGAAGAGTGAAGAGCAGTGTGATATTAATCATACGATGATGCAGTTCTAAAGAATCAGGGCATAAATTCTGGATGTATAGATTTCAGTCATACCTTTCAACTCAATAAATAATCTATCTCATTTATAAACATATAAGCCACTTGGTGTTTGGGTTAAAAGTGAGGTAATTTAGTTCTATGGTTTTCAGTCTTCCCATGTGTAAATCATTTTAACAGCATGCAAGTAATTCCATATTTGAAACTCCCAGAGAAAATACTTCCATTTCTATCTCTGTACATCATCACGGATCATAATAAATAGCTCTGACTGAGTGTGCCAAGAGGTTCTTGCCAAATACTTTCTTTGAGGGAGGGAGGCAATGTAGCCTAGTGAGGAGAATGTTTAAGAGTCATCAAACCTTCATCTCACTTCCTAGTATGTCCCTTTTCATGCCACCACTTTCTTTTTAGTCAGGTATTCTATCACAAAAAAATTATAACAGTTATGCAGGTGTCTTGGAACCCAGCAAAAGTTTATCATCATTATTATGTTATGGTTTAAAAGTCAGACTTTGTAACCAAGCCAGAGGGGCCGCGTGATTGTAACTGTGCATCTGGAGCAACTCTCCTTAGGATTTGCCACAGGCAGAATTCAGCTGAGTCTCCCAGCATCCAATTTTGAGGGGAGTGTGGGAAGATGAGAAACTTAAAAAGCAGTTTCCATCCAGAGTGATCATCTTTACCAAAAGATTTTAGTCTGGTATTATGTCAGGTGGTTTAAATTGAATCATGTTTTTCCAAAATCACTGGGATCACAAAATTTGCATCAGCCCAGTCCACACCTGCCAAGTAGTGCTATCCTCTTTCCTCAAAGCACCCTTGGAGCTTTCTGTTATTCCCTTCTAATGAGACCAGATGACTGCCAAGTGACCCATACTCAGTGTTCTCTCTCAGAAGCATCTGAAAACCAACAGGAAAGAAAGAGAAAGGAAAAACCCAGTAGCTTTAATTTCTTTAGCTTTCTGATTCTTTTTTGACTTGACATTAGCTCAGTATAAAGTCACTAGAATCTTGAAGCTAAAATGAATGAGTAATAGCAGTGTTTGAGGCTAGCGTCAACACGTCTTCAAATGTGGCTGAAGATTTAGAATAAAGCAGTAATAATTATTTCCATTTTAATGGTTCTTTTATACCCTAAAATATTGACTTTTAATGTACCTAAACAACTCTCTAGAAACATTGTGAGGTTGCTACCTTATATAGTGAATGATTATTCAATGTTTTAAACTCAGTATTATTGAAATTTTTCCAACTACAGCTTTTCTGACTTCAGTGTAAACATTCTTGTCTTTCTGTATTCGATACATTTCTATGTCATCAATAGTTCACTAAAGGTCTTTTATTTTTCTCGCAGTCTGACAGCAACGCGAGCTTCCTCCGTGCTGCCAGAGCAGGCAACCTGGACAAAGTCGTGGAATATCTGAAGGGGGGCATAGACATCAATACCTGCAATCAGGTAAGAACATGACAGCTGGCTCTGTGTTGTGCAACGAAGAAACACTCAGTACATTCTCAGAGTCCAAGATTATTTTTGTCTTATTAAAAATACTAAAATATCAGTGACTCAGACTTCTGAAACCCCATTTTTGCCCCCTTACCAACTTTTCAAGCATCAGATGTATCTAGAGCTATATGTAGCTGAAAAAGTAGACAGATTAAAAACAACAACTGAATGCCAATTTTGTTTATGCAATGATTTGGGCCACCTTTAGCTGAAATTTTGACCAAGAATGATGTTTTATTTCTCATTTATCATCTAGTAATCCAGACCTTGGCTTCTTTCCTTCTTGACTATATGTACTTTACTCAGAGGAAACTGATTATTACAATTTAGTATAGAGAAATAAGAGGATAAAATTTTCTCCTAATTAATTTTAAAATATGGTTTATAATGAGAATAATTTGAAATTATTATTGTAAATGATGTGTCCATTCATTGTGCCCATTTGATAAGGACTTTAGAGAGTATTATACACTTTGGATATTATTTGGTGCCAATGTTGACATTTTTGTGCTATTTTTGGCTAAGATTTTTACATCATGAACTAAAGTGTCTAGTGGACTGCAGTATTCACTTTAATGCTAAATGTTGTGTTGTGTTTGTGTGTGTGTGTTTGACAGAGACCTAACTACGAAGTGAAAAATTCTGGCTAATTTTAAGTGAAAAGGAGGTAAATGTCACTACTGGATTCTAAATTATATATAAATTCCTTTTTCTACATCCTGGTATATATTGAACCCAGTTATGTTTAATTTATAGACAATTGAAATTAATAAATCTTTTAATAACAACTTTTCAAAAACTGAACCTGGTATCTTATCCTCAAACTTACTGTACTCCCTAATTCCTACCTGCTGATTTCCTCAACAATGTGCCATTCCAACCCAACTGTTTCCCGTTCCTCATTTTCCCCCTCTCCAGCCCAGCACTCCTCTCTTTTTCACCTTCTGTATCCAGATTGCATAAGCTTGGATCACCTTGAGGTACTTAACAGAGTTGTCATAAAAGCCTTTTTATTGGGTTCTGTCTTCAGTCTTGTCTACTCTGATCAATTCTCCACACAATGCCTTGAGTGATAAATAAAATAAAAAGATTACAACACTTCCTTCCTCCCCAAACTTCTATGGCTACCCTATATGGCCACCAATGCCCAGATCAGTGAGGTGGTTGTATCAAAATCATCTGCAGGCGTTTGCAAAGGGTACAGGATTTCCCTCCTTCCTCTTCAGAGTCACTGGCATAAAGAGCATTGTCACTGATGTCAATATTTCTCATATTTTAGAGAAGTGTGTCTCTTATCATGAAAACATGTTGAAAGCTACTTGATGTTGGGAAAGGTATTCTGCTGTGGCCCTGAGCAGTCCTGCAGATACTCTTGGGAATAACAAGAATAAAAGACTTTGGGATTGCTTTTTATCTGGGCCATTTCTCAGGGTGGTGTTTGCAATAAGCAACCTTGAGGGATTAGGTGATATCTCCCTCTAGCTACAAAGCAGGCCTGTATGAATCCCCCAAGGTCAGTGTTCTCTTTTAACACAACCCACAGGTACGGGCATCCATCATTGGTCCTTTGTGTCAACCCTGTTAGATATGCGGGAAGAAAGGGATAGGAAACTGGTATAAGCAACAGGCTGACACTTGGCTACTGCTTTTGCTCTGAATTACAACATCCTTTGTTTCTGACCCAGAAGACTTGTATCTTCTACTAGCATTATGAAACAGTAACGGTTTAGCTTTTAATTATTTGGTAAGATAAATCTCAAGAACGTTACATAGTTCTTAACACTGACTTATGGAATAAACCCACATTACTGTATCCCAATATGTAAAATCTTCGTGTGTTGCGCCTACATTCCTTCATCTTATTTTTCATTATGAATCATTTTATCTGATATGTTTTTTGTGTTCTTTGGACAAATAATTTGAACTTTAGATACATTAGTTACCTTAAGAAATGAAAGAACATTCAAACTCCCTATGGATATATAGACTTATTCTATATAATACTTATGAAGTTGAATATGAAATATTTAATACTTTTGATGTAAACTTAGGTTTCTTTAAGTAGATTAAATGCACTCCCTAAATATCTATTTGTTAACTTTCTAAATTTGCAATATTCTAGAGAATAAGCAATGAAACTGTTAGTTCATTTAGGTAAACTTATCATAAATAATGCCAAAAAAGAGAACCCAAGGAAAGTAAAGCTCATTTCAAACCAAATCTACTTCACACTAAAGTATAACAAATACATTAATTGTATGAAAGGTGTTAGGATTATTTTGAGAAACAATAATCTCTCAACAGTAAATACTCAATTCTTATATTTATAGACAATGTTAGCTTCTTGAGTTAGCTTTCTCTTGTAGTGGCCAGCCATCCACTAACATGTCACTATAAAAGGAAAGAACATTTATTTCTGTGAGAAGGCAACATGATGTCATGAAGCCCACACAAAATTTAGAGCCCACAGGTTCAAATTCAAGTTTCATCTCTATTTTTAAGAAGTCAGTTCACTTCAGAAAGTGACATTTTTCTAACTTGTAAAACAGGATAAAAACAATACATTCAATGCTTATATCCCTGGGTTGCAATGTAAGTTAAATTATGAAATGTAAAAGGAGTTTCTAAGGTACATGTGTTCTGATTACAATTACAGTATATAATTAACCAAGAATTATACAAATTAAAATTGACTTACACTCAAAATATGAGGTTGATTCTCCTCAATTCCCCGAACTCACCAGTTATAAAGTAAATGCAAGGCCAGGTGTGGTGGCTCACACCTCTAATCCTAGCACTTTGGGATTAAAGTGGGAGGCTGAGGCAGGATTGCTTGAGCCCAGGAGTTCCAGGCTGCAGTTAGCTATGATCGTGCCACTGCACTTCAGCCTGAGTGGGTGAGAGAGTAAGACCCTGTCTCTTAAAATAAATAAATAAATAAATAAATAAATAAATAAATAAATAAATAAAACAGGCCGGGTGCAGTGGCTCACACCTGTAATTCCAGCACTTTGGGAGGCCAGGAGGCAGGTGGATTGCCTGAGATCAGGAGTTTGAGACCTGTCTGGTCAACATGGTGAAAGCCCGTCTCTACTAAAGACACAAAAAAATTAGCTGGGCGTGGCGGCATGCGCCTGTAATTCCAGCTACTCAGGAGGCTGAGGTGGGGGAATTGCTTGAACTAGGGAAGTGGAGGTTGCAGTGAGCCAAGATTGCGCCACTGGACTCTACCCTGGGTGACAGAGTGAGACTCCGTATTAAAAAAAAAAAAAAAAAAAAAAAAAAAAAATTCCCCAAAGTAAATGTGGTCTGATGGGCTTGCTGGTTCTGTATTTTTATTAATAGTATTCGAGACAGTATATTAATTAAATAAAGATTAGGGAAATACAGTGACTAATGTTACCTACTTAGCTACTGTGTATTAGACTTTGTGCTGGGGCTTTACATGTGATGTCTTATCAGTCAACTGAGATGAAATATTGTGAGATAGGGATTAGCTCAAGTTTACAAATGTAGAAACTGGGCCCACAGTGGTTAAGTGACATTCCCAGGGCCACATGGATCTGTCTGTCTCCCATGTCCAAGCTTTTTTCTGCTGCAGGATATCTTTTGGAGTAGCTATTTGGAGCTGCCCTTCAAAGTAATACAGTGGTGATGTCCTTTATCTTAAAGTTGAAAACTTATTTTTAATCTACTACTGCTAATATAAAAAGAACTTTATTCATACGTAGTTAAAAGATCTTTTAAGTCAAAGAGCACCACCACCAGGATTACTGCTAAAACTCAAATACAATATAGAACAGGAAATGATTTCCAAATACCCAGCAAAGTAAAAGAGACAACTATTCAGCCAAACTATTGCTATTTCCAAATATACAATATTCAAAGCTAATATGGCATATGAAAGAAGAAAAGAAAATGTATCCTCCAGTTTGCTACTAAGCCTTAGTTTCTAGGGAGCATTACAACATGTAATATAGAAACCAGGACTTTCTGTACTCTGTTGTATTTCTCAATGAAAGGCAATCTGGGCTGCACCAGCTTTCCAAAAATATCACATGTGTTGGCGTGCTAAGATTCCTTAAACTGAAATTTGAATCAATGTTTTTTCTTTATAAAATTGGTTTCACAACTACCATGAGAAGTTTAAAGTATAATTCCCAAATACTATTTTGCTTTTAATCATTTAAATGATATGCAGAAAATTCATAAATTTGGCACATGAAAATACTCTAAAAGGATGTCGTTTTCATTTTTCTTTTTTAAATGATTACAAATATGGTTAACTTTTATTTTCTTTAAAAGATTACACCAGTCATCTATTTACCACGTTATCTCTTGTATATTTAGAAGAGAAAATAAATCTTAGCATTCAATTTATTTCTGAAACTCATAAAGGCTTACATTCTTACCTATTACCCATTTAGTAATTCTGCATAATTTAATACTGTTACAAACAAGATTAACATGCGGACCTTAAAAATAAACTGTATAATATTTTAATAAAAGTTTATAGCCAGTTACAAGCCAATAAAAACCCCAGTAGTTTCAGATACTTTCACCATGTATGCAATTTATTCGTTTCACTATAGTGACTTCAAAATGAAAGACTATCACTTAGCATTTATTTAATACAATCCTAGATATGATACCAGTGATTAACAGGTCTTAAAATGCCCTGATTTTTGGTCTTGGCCTTTTACCATCGGAGTTTAAAGGTGCAAAATTATCAGTTAAATCCTGTGTTTCCTTTTTTATAAACAGAAGGCAAGGTCGAAGCATCATTTTCAAAACAATATTAGTGTTCCTCAAATAGCAGACCTTTAGCAACAAGAAGATACACCCAACAATGACTTTAGCATATGCTCACACAGTATGACTCAGACTGTGAAGCATATTTGGAAGTCACATTAACAGTGTGGATGCTGGAAACCAAATTCTAGTTTTCCCCA